GTTTTTACAAATGGAATTTACTCCTTAAGTAGAAAATGTAATATAAGTCAGACAATCCACTCTTCAAGTAGAAAAGTTATAATAGTCAAGCAGAAAATCCGATTTTTAGTCATTGGTCCTATAATAGCCCAATGGTTACCATTGACAATTTCCCACTGGGTTAAAGTCAGAAAAAAATATTTTTAAGTAGAAAAGGCAGTTTTAGTTAGTCAGAATCCACTTTTAAGTAGAAAAAACTTTACAGTCAGACAGAATCAATTTACAAAGGAGAAAAAACAATAATACATATTATTTATTTTACGTACTGAAGGTAGTTTTAGTCAGACAAAATCCACTTTTAAGTAGAAAAGGCAGTTTTAGTCAGACAGAATCCACTTTTAAGTAAAAAAAGACTTTACAGTCAGACAGAATCAATTTACAAAGAAGAAAAAACAATAATACATATTATTTATTTTACGTACTGAAGGTAGTTTTAGTCAGACAAAATCCACTTTTAAGTAGAAAAGGCAGTTTTAGTCAGACAGAATCCACTTTTAAGTAAAAAAAGACTTTACAGTCAGACAGAATCAATTTACAAAGAAGAAAAAACAATAATACATATTATTTATTTTACGTACTGAAGGTAGTTTTAGTCAGACAAAATCCACATTTAAGTAGAAAAGGCAGTTTTAGTCAGACAGAATCCACTTTTAAGTGGAAAAGGTAGTTTAAGTCAGACAGTCCATTTTTTAAATATAAAAAGATGTTAGTCAGACTAAAATTACTTCTAAGTAGACAATATATTTCACGTCAGACAAAACACATTTTTAAGTAGAAAAATCAGTTGAAGTCAGACATAATCCACTTTTTAAGCAGAAAAGTTATTATAGTCAGACAGAAAATCCAATTTTTTGTAGAAAAAATATTTTTAAGTAGAAAAGACAGTTTAAGTCAGACAGAATCCACTTTTTAAGTAGAAGAATATTTTATTGTCAGACTAAAATAACTTCCAAGTAAAAACAAAATACGTTTTTAGGTAGAAAAGGTATTTTAGTAAGAGGAAATCCACTTTAAGTAAAAGATTGTTACAGTCAGACAGTGTTTACTTTTTACGTAAAATTTTTAGTCTTACTCAATGTGAGTTTAATTTATAAGTAGAAAAGTACTTTTACTCAGAAAATTCAGTTTCTAAGTAGAAAAAATATTATTGTCAGGCAGAAAATATTATTAAGTAGAAAAGATATTTAAAGCCAAACAGAATCCATCTTAAGTAGAAAAAACTGTTCTAATCAGACAGAATCTACTTAAAAGTAGAAAAAATTGTTATAGTCAGACAAAATCTACTTATTATGTAGAAAATACGCTTTTTTTTAGACAGACTTTGTTTTTTCAATAGAAGTAGTTTTAGTTCGACAAAATTCTTATTTTTCTAAAATTTAAAAATAAAAATTATAAATAAATCCAATTGAATAAAGTAGAAAAACAATTTTTAAAAAATGCTAAAACGTGACGTTTTTAGTGTGTGTTAGTTTTTTTTTACATGTGTTGGTAGAAAAAAAAAGTTTGCATGTTTCTAAATCGTTTATCGAAAATTTTTTCGAACTGTCAAAATAAATCAAAGGCGAAATGAAAGAAGCAGAGCAAGAACTGAGGGATGAAAGTTCGCTGAGAGTGCTTCGTACTTTGATCTCAAGGCGAATCGAATTTCACCGTTGAGCCTGAGGAGGTCGTTGAGGATCAGACGAAACGAGCCGGATCTCATCTTCAAGGCCATGAAGCCGGGCAACCGAAAGCTTCGTTACGAATCCTGACAAAAAAAAAAAAAAAAAAAAAAAAGGGGAAAGAAGAAGAAAAAAATTATCTTTTTTCTTTCTATTTCTGTTATAAAATTCGCAAATTTAAAAATAAAAACAAAAAATCTAGTCTCTTGCAATTCTATTAAGTGCGCTGTCATTTGTAATTGAAGGCAATATTCGCTAGCATATCTAATTCCCAATTTAACTAGTTGTGTATAGATTAATTCTCCATTTTGCCCAAAATCCAAATATATATCTCAACCAGTATCTTGTGCCAATTAGACTAATGTTTCTTAATCTTTGATGTACACAGAGAGACAGACAGAGAGAGAGAGAGAGAAGATGGATCTTTGTCTTGTGCTTCTCTGATGCTTTGACTATATATATATACAACGCGGATACACAATATTTGCTTAGATCCAATAATTACAAACGGTTAATTTTCAAAATTGGATGCAGAAATATGCATTTAGTATACCAATTTATTTTGGAAATAATTATTTATAATTTAATAAAAATAAATAAATTATTAAAAAAATAAACAAATAAATTAAAAGTAAATAAAATTATTCTTTCATTTGAAGGTATTTTGTGTCCTTTTCTGTTTTTTTTTTTTATTTAATGCAGGAAATAAAAAAGAAAATAACGGTCACTAAGGTGATAAAGATTAATCATCAATTTCTAATTACGCGTTATAACAGGTGAAATTTCCTTTCCTAATTTTACTACACTATACATATAGAGTGAAGTTTCGCCCTCTCTCTCTCTCTCTCTCTCTCTCTCTCTCTCTCTCTCTCTAGGACCCGAAGAGGATTTTACTAACTCCACAGCTAACAGGGATGGCCATTATTACCGCGTTTGTCTTCCTTTGCCTACCGACAACCACTAGCAAATCCTCTTACTTGTACGTGCTTCGCGAAACCTTTACTTATATATATATATGTACTATATACGATGCGAGGAAACCCGACCGAGTTTCCCTTTCGATTCAACTTTTTGATTAATTATGTAACGTTATTTACACTCTGAAAAGGGTCGCGCTCACGCGAATACAAGATTTTCCCTGTCCCGCGATCTAACGGATAATCTCACACAGCTTGCGTCATCGTTTATATTTTCACATTATAAAATAAAACATACTGTGTGCGGGTAAATAGCGACACAGCATAGATAACAAAATCCAATTAAAACACCAAGCTTTATATAATACTTTTTGTATACATAACATAAATTTTACATTATGCGTATTATTTTCAAAAAAAATATTTCCCCATTTTTATTTATTTAAATTCAAATCTGAATGTTGATTTTTTAGAAAAGGAAGTTGTTTTCCTAAAAGTGCAACTAGAAAATATGTCAAAGAGTCAAATATTTGTTTCAAATAAATTATATTTGTATTTAATAAATTTTTTAAATACGAATTTTATTTGCGCTAAATAAATTCCATAAAAAATCATTAATCAGAATCATTTTTAAAAAAATTTATTCGGAATAATTATTTTTTAGATGAATTTTCATTTTTCGAATTAGCATTTGATATAATTTCTATTTATACGAATTTTTACATAATCAAATTTTTAGTTGCGAATTTTTGTTTGGCAGAATTTTTTAATTTTACAATCATTTTCTTTACATGACTTTTTATTTAAAAGAATTTTAATTTTGAAAGAATTTTACTTTAAAAGAATTTTAATTTAATCGAATTTTAATTTAACAGAATTCTCATTCAATCGAATTTTTAAATAACATCGAATTTTCATTTGTCCGAAAATAAAAATGGCCGAACAAAAAATCGACAGAAAGATTTTGGCGTCATTTTTAATATTGACCAATTGAAAAATTATCAAGAAAATCGTAATTGATTAATTTTTAAAATAGCGCCGAAATTTTTTTGTCGATTGCTTATTCGGACATTTGTAATTTTAGAAAAATGAAAATTCGATATCTTAAAAATTTGTACAATTAAAAAATTCTTACAAATAAAAATTCGGACAAATTAAAATTCAGTTATTGGGAATTTGTGTCATTTAAAAATTCGAATGACATGAAATTTGATTGAATGATAATTCTGGTTAAATATAAAATTCGCTTAAATTAAAATTTCTGTTAAATAAAAAGTCACGTAAAGAAACTAACTAAAATCAAAATTCTGCAAAACAAAAATTCGGTAGCTAAAAATTTTTCTATGTAAAAATTTGTATTTAAAAGAAAATCTTTCAAATTTTAATTAGAAAATTGAAAAATCGTGTAAAAAATAATTTCTAATAATAAACTTTAAAATAAAAATTCTATTTAATGATTTTTATGAGAAATTCATGCTACCCTTATAACACTGAAAAAAAATTTATTTAATTTAAATAATCATTTACTTGACTAATTGTCAAATAAATAATTGAACCAAGTTAGTTATGAAATAAAATAATTAAATAAACTGTATTTAAACCAATTATTTCTGTATTTGAAACAAATATTATTTAATTAACTCAATAATTATTTGAGAAAAATAAATATTTGAAAAAATAAAAAAAAAATGTAAAAAAAAATAATAATTTTTTTCAGAAATAATTATGCAAATTTTCTCTCGTAAATCAAAAACAAATGGATTTTATAATTTCGATATTTAGCTGTCCGTATAGAAATTTTCGAAAATATTTTCGTCGTTCTCGATTGAGAGAGAAGTTTACGAGAATATTAACGAAGTCGACTTTCTGACTATTTTTGTGATCTAAAAATTGCTAGCTCGCGCCTTTCAATTCAAGGTAAAGAGTTTCGTCTAAATGTTTGTTTTTCCATGTCCTTTTTATGAGGATTATCAAACTGAGAATCACATTCTCCAAATCGACTTATCGAGATTTATAAAAATTTCTACCATTTTCTTATATAAAAACAATTTTTATGATTTCTTTAACTTGGATTATATTGAATAAAAAAAAAAGACAAAATACTGCTAGAGAGATAACAAATAGTTTTAGTTACAGAGAAAGAAATTGAATATTGTTTAAATCGAAATAAAAGTTCTCTTGGTAATAAGAGAATCAATATCGATCTCTAAAAAGCCCCATTTTTTTTTTTTTTTTTTTTTTTGAAGCTATCAAATGCTTTTCAGATACTTTTGTATCTTTTTTTTTCTTTTTTTTTTGGGGTATTTCAGATACGAATATATGAAAAAAGGGAAGAGAATAAATAAAATAGCCCGAAGGTTGCTTGTTGAATCAAGTCACTTACCTGTGTGCGTCCTCTGGTGCGCTTTGAGATGCGAGCTTTTGGTATAGACTTTTTTACATCCAGGAAACTGACACTTGTGTATCCTGCGTTTAGTGTCCGGTGGACTGTGTTCGTGACTTCTTGCATGATGCCTGTTCGCAACCGCGGATGGAACTGGTGCCGTTCCAACATGTGCATGTTGCGTGCTCGCGACAGTTGGGAAGCCGTTCGTTGCTACCGAGATTAATCTAACAGAGCAAAAAAAGAAATTATTCAAACAAGATTTTTCACCAAAAAAAAAAAAAAAGAAAATTTTTTTTCCCTCACTGATTGATCAAAATTCTCTTCTAATTTTCTAATTATTTATTATTTATTTATTATTTATTATTTATTATATAAAAAAATTATCAATTTAAAAAATTACATCAATACCGCAAAGATTAGAAAAATATAAAAGAAAAAAAATTGTTTTTTTTTTTTTTTTTTCTCACCTGGCAACACTTTGAGCATTGCTGGCAGTAACCCTAACGATAGCACTCCTTCCACCCGTTCCATGGAGGTTCAAATTGTGTACGTCAAGCATCGAACTCCCGCTCGACGAGTGACTCGAATTGGAATGACCTTGACCCGATTCAGGACTCGACGGTGGTGTCAAGATTTGACCTTCACCCTCGCACAGACTATCGTCGTCCTCCTCGATTTCCTGGACATAGACGAACTTTATAGAAAAATAAAAAAGAAAAAAACAATGATAGAATTTCATTTAATTTTGTAACGTAAAAAGTAGAGAGGAAGAAAAAAAAAAAGAAAATTCAATTTATACACTGAAAAAAAAATTTATTTGATTCAAATACCGGTGTATTTGGTTATTATCAAATAAATATTTACTTGAATCAAATAATTCTTATTTGAATCAAATACATAGTATTTGAATCAAATATTGCAGTATTTGAAGCAAATACCGTTTATTTGATTCAAATAAGAAATATTTGATTTAAGTAAATATTTATTTGATAATAACCAAATACACCGGTATTTGAATTAAATAAATTTTTTTTTCAGTGTACAAATTTAACAATATCGAAAAAGTAGAGAAATTTTTAATTACTTTTGAATATAAATTTAGAATTTTTCTATTTAAATCAACAAAAAAAAGGTGTGTTTAATAAAAATTTTATTAAATAAAAATTATATTCAATTATTAATTTAAATATTAATTTTAATATTAATTAAATATATAGGTATTTATCTAAATGGACAATATAAATAAAAATTTTGTCTGAAAAAAAATTTGACTAAAAATTTCTGTTCAATATTAATTCCAGTTAAATATAAATTTTGTTTATTATTAATTTAATTAAATATAAATAGTATTAAATAAAATTAGAGTAAAATAAAAATGCTATTTAATATTAATTTGATAAAATTATAAATAAATTCTGCTAATAAAAATCCGATTAAAAGTGCAATTAATTCTATGCATTATTAATTCGGTTAAATATAAATTCTGTTTAATATTAATTTAGTTAAATATAAATAGCGTTAAATAAAAATTCGGCTAAATTAAATTTTTTTTTTTTAATTTCAACAACTTTAGAGAGTGTTTGTTTTAATTTGAATTTTCATTTTTGAGTGTTTAAAAATTAATTAATATTGATAATTCACTAATATTAATAATTAATTATATAATATTTAATCAATATCTATAGTTAATTGATTCATTGATTTAATCAGATTTTGATTAAAAAGTATTCGTGCAAAAAAAAAGAATTTTTGAAAAATAAATAAACAAACCTCATCTTCCTCGAGATCCTCGCTGGGCTCTTTTTTGAGAATAAGTGCCGTACACGAGAGGGAAGGAGAACTGTCCCATGAGAGGGCTGAACACGCTGAACTCGCTGACGACATTGACAATGAATCCAGGTGCCGATCGAGGAGATCCCTGTCTCGGCCATTGTGGTTGTGGTCACCTGAACTAAATTTAATGTCTTCCAGGCAAAGGGGATCCCTGTCGTCGGATGTCGTAACCTGAAATTTCAAAAGAACAATTTCCCCTTTTTTTACGATCTTGTTTATTTAATGCCTCTTTCTATTTTTTTTTCTTTTTTTTCTCCCCGCCTCTTTGAATTGAAATACTTTTTTCAACCTAATTTTCATTTTTTTCTATTTCTTCTTATTTTTTTTTCTTTTTACCAAAATGTTAACTAAAGATATTTTTTTCTACAATTATTTCTACTTTTTTTCTTTTTACCAAATTCCTTTTCTATTGTTTACTATAAAAATGTATATAACTTTCACTATTTTTACTCTTATTTTATTTACTAAAAAAAATTGTTCAATTTTTGTACACTACTTTTAAGAAAAAAAAAAATCGCAATCTAATTTTCTTACAGTGGACCTATTTGTGTTGCATCTCGTAGGTTTCAGTTTTGTTTGCAATCTCCTTTGTTTTTATTGGGTCCTTCTTGAGGTACTTTCAGTTTTTTTTTTTGTAATGAAGAACATTTTATTAAGAAAATCTCGCTATTTTTTTTTTTTTTTATTGTGATCTTTTTGTTTTTCATCGGTGTTTTGTATTCGAGTTTTAAAATCGCAAAACTTGTTTTAGTATTTTAAAAAAATTTTTCAAAAATAAATTTTCGGTAAATTTTTACAGAAAAAAAATTGCATTTACTCACTTCCATTTTGATGGCAGATTCAAATTGTCCGTTCGTGGTGCCAGTGGTTGCTGTCCACGATATAGGAGGCCTGAACATATTCCAGGGTGCGGTATCAAGTTCCGTGGGTAACTTTTTGTACGATTGTAACTTTGGCTCGTCCTTCAGGTACCTTTCCATTTCGTAGCAAGTCTGTAAAAAAAAAAAACAAAACAAATTTGCTCCAATTAATAATTTGCTCCAATACCATTTAATTAATAAAAATAATTACTTTAATAAAAAATAAATATTTGATAAATATTTTTTGTATGTCAATTCGTCCCAACGTGAAAGTGGACCGCGAGGCGAGTGTGGTAATAATTCATTAGCGTTAAGGAATATACAAGACAAATGGTCTGAAAATGCGAAGAAGGCGAAAACATAAACCGGCATACTGGTAATCACATTTGGGAAATTGTATACCACAATTTCCATCTAGAGAGAAAGAGAGAGAGAGAGTATGTTGCGATAACTTTGTACTTTCCCCGTCTCTTCATTGTTCGCGTATATTTGTCCCTCTCATTTTGCCCTTAGCTTTCATATCTCTCTCTTTATCTACTCTCTTACCTTCCCCCCCCCCCACCAAAAGGAAACAAACTGTTCTGTAGGGAATTCTGACTTTGGTAACTTACAAGTAGTTATGTCTACCATTGTCATCAGCACTTTGCTTTACAGAACTTCAAGTTCCGGCGATTTCGTCTATAAGACTCTCTCTCTCTCTCTCTCTTTCCTTTATTTTCTTGGACAACTTTTGTCAGATAAGTCTCGACGATAGTCTCTTTGAAGTAGAGAAAAAAAAATTTTTGTTTGATAACACAATCATGTTACAAGTCAATCAATTAGTTATTTTTTTAAAGATATTTTTATCTTAGAATTTTTTTTCTGAAACTTTCCACAGTTTCTGGCAATTTTTACTCCAAAAATTGTAAAATTTACTTCTGAAATAGTAAAAATTATTTTGAAAATAGTAAATTTTACTATTTCTGGAGTAAAAATTGCTGGAATTAGTATTTTTCTACAAAATTGTTTTTTTACGAAATTGGTATTTTTTTACAAAATTAGTATTTTTTTACAAAATTAGTATTTTTTCGAAATTAGTATTTTTCTACCAAATTGTTTTTTTACGAATATGGTATTTTTTACAAAATTAGAATTTTTCTATGAAATTAGTGTTTTTCTACCAAATTGTTTTTTTTACGAAATCGGTATTTTTTACAAAATTAGTATTTTTCTACATAATTAGTATTTAAGAGTAAGAGTACTATGTACGAAAGAGCTTGACCCGTATATTGTTGTTAAATAAATAAATAAATAAATTATTATTTTTTTTGAAATTAGTATTTTTCTACAAAATTAGCCATATTTTCTACGAAATTAATATTTTTCTACGAAATTAGTATTTTTCTACAAAATTAGTATTTTTTCGAAATTAGTATTTTTCTACCAAATTAGTATTTTTACGAAATCAGTATTTTTCGAAATTAATATTTTTCTACCAAATTAGTATTTTTTACAAAATCAGTATTTTTTACGAAATCATTTTTTTCCTACATAATTAGTATTTTTCTACAAAATTAGCCATATTTTCTACGAAATTAGTATTTTTTCGAAATTAGTATTTTTCTACAAAATTAGTATTTTTTCGAAATTAGTATTTTTCTACCAAATTAGTATTTTTACGAAATCATTTTTTTCCTACATAATTAGTATTTTTCTACAAAATTAGCCATATTTTCTACGAAATTAGTATTTTTCTACTAAATTAGCTTTTTTTACGAAATCAGTATTTTTCAAAATTAGTATTTTTCTACAAAATTAGCCATATTTTCTACAAAATTAGTATTTTTCTAAGAAATTAGAATTTTTCTAAGAAATTAGTATGTTTCACAATGAAAAATTGATTATTGTGGTGAATTCAGATCAATGAACTCGATTTTCCTTATTCGTCGAGCAAAGTTCTTTTCCTTTCCTGTCGAGAATAAGAAAGAGATAAACTACAAAACGCTCACATTACTGCCACTAAACGCATTAAAACGAGCATAGCGTGATTTTCTTCAAAGATTGAAGCTTCTTAACTTCCCCTCCGGCCTTTAAATTCCAGATAATCCCGAAAATTTCATCCTTGTTTCGTATTTTAATTTTCTGAGGAGAATCATTTCAACCCAGTCTCTCTTAATTGACATTCCTCTCGTATTTTAATCACATTTTTATATTTAATAACAATTTTTTAATAACATTTTTCAAAACATTTTTTTTAAATAACATTTTTTAAAAATAAAAAGTTAATAAATTTTTTAACATAATTCATCATTTTCAGATTTAATTAGTAGAGAATTGTTCTTTGAAACTGTATATCATAAATTGGTTGCGAATGGTGAACATAAATATAAAAAAAAGCAAAGGAGAGAGAGAGAGAGAGAGAGGAATTATATCGTGTCTATTTGTCGGCGAGATCCCAATCAAGTTGACAAAGATATACACTGTGAAATTCGAATAAAACAGAATCGAGAGTCAAAAGAGAGTAGAGGGGGAGAGGGTGGTGTGTGTTCATGAGGCCATTTCTCTTCGGGGAAATAATCGCGTTGGAAACAGCGTCTCGTCCATTATTCACGGTTAAAAGTTCGTCGCGCGAACCTGGCAAGTTCGACTAACGGCATTATTATAACTTAGAAGGAATTTTATGACCCGCCCAGGACCTGAAACTCTAACGTTCAATACCAACCGATTTCACTAATCGTGACGTATGAGCACCAAAAGTTTCGAGTTTCACCTTTAAAGCGTAAAACGCTATATCAGTTCAGTCTCTCTCTCTCTATATATATATACAATTTCCAAATTAACAAAAAACCTCTCTCATTTGTAAAAACAAATTATAATGCTCCTTTTTTTCTCGCCAAGGATTCTTGAAAATTGTCTAATTACGAAATGTTACAAGCAATAAAGCTAATGTATCTTCTTTAGCAGATTCTTCAAGAAACCCGTATAGCAGTAAAGTAAAACTGAGTAAACACTGCGCAATGAACATAAAATAGTTATTCAGTTCAAGGAAAACAAGTCCCAGGTGAATAAACACTGTTACAAATGCAATACAAAACTGCACACTTCTTATGTTTCGACTTTAATTATAGCACATCTAATCAAAATTATTCTATCGTAAAAGTATATCCATTTTCAAAAATAAATGGAAAAATTTCAATTAAATAAAATTATTATAATATTGTCATTTTTTTAGCATAAAACAATGTTTATGAACTTTGAAATATATATTTAATCTTTCTTTCTGATCAGACAAACAATATATACGATGAAGAGAGAAAAAGAGAAAGAGGGGGGAATTTGCGGATAGAATGGACAATATACCGATTGTATTGCTAACGATTGAAGAATGCAAATAAATTTATTTTTATAAGCCATTCATGCAGGAATTCTTTTGTGAGATCTGCAAACAAAATGAGGGAAAAATAGTGAAGAATCTTTATAAATATTTTTCTCTTCTCTCTATTTTTTTTTTAACTGATCATCCAAGAGTTTATGACTCAGAGAGGAAATATCGTCATTTTTCTTTTACTGTCTTTACCATTAAGTGTGAAAGTGCGGTTATAATGTATGTATATATATATATATATATATATATATATATATATATATATAAAAGTTCACAATGTGGCAATCCATATGTGGTTGATTTGTTAATGGCATTCCAGAGTAACAAATGCAATTCTTCGACTTAACTCCTATATATAATACATCAGACATATTCTAAATGTCACGCAACTAAATCCGTTCATAAAATATAACTGATGTTTTCTCACACTTTAACAAAACTGAAAATGGCAAATTGATTTCTCTGTTCCCAGGAGACATAAAACGTTCTCAGTATAGTGGTGTGTAAAATAATATGTATTATATAGAAAGTTGAGCGTTTGGCGAAAATTATTAAATTCGATTTAGGTAAAATTTATCCCACTGTTAATAAAATTTACTGCACTGTAAGTAAAATTTATTAAACTGCAGGTAAAATTTTCAGCACTGTAGGTAAAATTTACTATACTGTTGGTAATATTTACAGCAATGTAGGTAAAATTTACTAAACTGTAGGTAAAATTTACTAAATTGTAGGTAAAATTTACTATACTGTTGGTAAAATTTACTAAACTGCAGGTAAAATGAGCCGCCGGAAATTAAAAGAGCGCATAAAGTTTGTTCGGCCGTTTGAGTTGGCCGGCTGTACAAATTTTATGCGCCCTTTTACTTTCCGGCGGCTCAAATTTATTTTACTGTAGGTATAATTTACTATACTGTTGGTTAAATATACTGTACTCTATATAAAATTTACTATACTGTAGGTAAAATTAATCCTACTGTTGATAAAATTTACTGTACTCCAGATAAAAATTACTTTACTGCAGGTAAAATTTACTCGACTCTAGATAAAATTTACTGTACCACTACTTTTTTCAACTGCTGAATTGAACTATCAATACTGTTAACTTACACTAATTTATTTTTTAATTAACTGTAACTCCAACATACAAGACTTAAATATAATTGCTTTAGCTTTTATTCGAAAAGATTTAAACTAAGCTTCATTGTGAGGGAAAAAAGGAGAAATCAGCTGTCAGAAAAAAATTGGCCCATTCACATTTATAAAAGCTCAACGTAACGAAAATTAAAAAAAAAGAGCTCGAAATGAGAAAGAGATATACGATAATATGTGAGTTTAAAATTGAAAAAAAAACCTGCCGCTTAACCTCTTCAAGGCAGACTGTTTTTTGAAGAAGACATCCGCAACTGTCGGTTGTTTGAGCAACGGTCGACGTTTTAATAATCACAAGAGCGGGAGGGTCCAAGTGCTTCTGTTTCTCTCTCCAAGCTTCAACCCGTCATATTCCCTCGAGCGCTCGATTGTTGTTGAGAGATAAGCGGAGGAAGAGGCAGATAGATGGTGATGGAAGAAGAGAGGAGAAGAGGAGAGGAGAGTGTACACGCTACGAGATGCTACAATGAGTTTGTGGAGCTCTCTCTCACTCTCGTACTCAATGTACAACTGCTTGCTGCTGCCGCCCGTGTAGGTTCGTGTAGGTTGTAGGTTGGTGGAAGGAGGTTGTTGGGTGAGACGACAGAGAGAATGCACAAAGCCGACTCTGTTCATT